TCTTTATTTATTTATTTTTTCTTTTTTGCTTTTTTTGCTTTGTTTTGTTTTTGGGTTTTGTTATTTGTTTCTTTTTGTTTTTACCTGTTCAAGTCATGCAGTAATTGTTTCAGCTATCTTTTTGAATTATTAGTGTGATCATAATTTCTGTATTTTTATGTTAACAGTTTTGACAGTTGTCCGCCACACTGTCACATATATTTCAACGATATTTCAAGACAGAATCGTATTCATATATGCGAACATTTAATAAGTTTCTCTTTCAATGAAGGTAGCTCTATCTTGAAACTCAACAAAGTTTAGGAAACTAGAGTGAAACATACCATTCATCGATATCAGTTCTAGCGGATAAGCTTAATGTTTCATCATTTGAAAATGAGACGATTTCCTGACAAGGGCATGGGATCAGATACGACCTTTTTATCTATAGGCGTTCCATGAAAAGAGAAAAAAATCTATCTTTCTAAGTTGATAGATAACAATAGATCATACACGATACGATGGTTTCACTAACTCATCGGATACACGCTATGAAAATTTCCACATCTAGACCTACCCTGAATGCCAGAAAATCAATCACTAACACCCAAGGGAGATAAACGTGTACGCTTTGGTCATATGTTTCTTTTTGTTAATAGATATGGTCATTTAATTCAAACATTTTGCTGACTGACTTTTTTCTTTGGTAAAAATCTCAATAAATCAAAGTATTATCCTAGTCAAGAAACAAATATTCCCTGAGAGAGAGAGAGAGAGAGAGAGAGAGAGAGAGAGAGAGAGAGAGAGAGAGAGAGAGAGAGAGAGAGAGAGAGAGAGAGAGAGTTACTTACAAACCATAGGGTTGTAAAGGACAGAGGGAGACAGACGAAAATTATTCACCGATTCCGAACCATCAACATTATATAAAGGGTGATGCCATTTGACTTTGAATAACAGACAATACCGACAAACACATCTTCGTTTAAGCCTAATTTTAGATAATAATGAGTTGATATTTGCTAACACGCCCTGTAGCTAATTCCATGATTGATAGTTAAGACGCTGTGTTATTGACGAATTAACAAGTTCTGTAGATTCAGGGCTTCCTGACATCATTATGACTAAAATACAAAATAATTATTTCACCAAATGATTGGCTTAAGATAAGATTATGCGTGTATCATGTATAAAACAGGTATACTAATCCAGGAAGTAATCTAAGAGGAATACGTGTATTGTGTGACACATATATAACCGAATATATACGGCCGCTATCATTTGTATAAAGTGCCACCGTATACACAACAATCATTGGAGTTATGTAACCCACCTGGCGTGTTAGATCTTCAGGTGGTAGGGCTTTCTAGAAAAAAGAAGGTAAGTTCTATCATATCAACCCAACTATTTTCTTCAATATTCTTACACGTATCATTTCCATTTACTTTGTAAACTATAAATATTGATAGGTTACGTTTTGACGCGTAAGAGGTGAACGGAGTAGTGTAATATCTGCCGATTATACCAACAGAAGTTGTTTCCAGGAATATTACAGAAATGTGTATTGTTTTAAGTCGAATGATGGACCTCGTGCCAAGTATCAAATTATAGTGAGAAATATGCCATAACACAAATTCTCTGAAGTTAGAGAGGAATATCTTGTTGATATCTGAGACGAGCTTAGAGCTGTTAGTACGATATTGTTCTGCATACACTTGATTTACTGGGTTGTGGTCAGCTGTTGAACCTTATCGTTGATTCAAAATTTATAATCCGTTTGATTATGATATAAAAAGAAGAAAAAAAATCACCATATATACAAACATACAATCTTTAGTTTTTAAAAGATCCGATAAAGATTTAGCTAGATCGACATCAAAACGAAAGCTCGGCCATGATTGCAACACTTGATGTTTGTTTTTATGAGCCGAAATGTGTGAGAGATTTATATATATTTGAAAGTAACAAGAAGTAATCCAAACAAAGCAATAGAAAACAGCGCACAGATCTGTGTATTTACCCAATACTTCGTGGACTACCCATGATAAAGTCCGTAACAAAGTTCCGGAATTCCCATTGTGCTAACATTACATAATGTATTTATAATGATAATAATCAGAGTTTTTAAAAGTCAGAAAGAGTTATGATATGTACAAAATGGCCAGAAATTTGCTAACGTGTGCAAAATGTCCCTTTAAATATGTTTAAGAAATCACCGCAGACTTCTGCTATTGTGGTTGAAGCCCAGTAGATAAGTTGGTATAGTATCAAAACAATTGTTAATAGTTAAAGTCATATGTTGAATACTAACAGTGTTTTAACAATGTCGTTTCTCGCATTGGTGTTGTATTTGATATAATTTGTGAACACTCGAACGTTGTGCACAGTCGTCAAAACAATTTAACTTGTCACGTGATTCAGACAAGCATGTAGACAATAATATCAGCAAGGCATTTTCCCTAACCATGACTTTTAAGAGCGATATAATTTATATCATAAGGAATAATTGAGCAGTGCGCGACGTTAAATTGATGTTCTTTAATTTGATATGTAAGTTTGACGCTTAAATTAAATTTGAACAACGCACGATTTGCCAAGTTTTATAACAAGAGGTCCCGGAAGGTCATGACCCCCATCATTGTTGATCTTTTTTTGTACTGTAACTGTTTAATACTTTCAAGTCATTACACTTCAATTCTCTGCTTTTAGTCTTAATTGCATGACTTATTTTTCTTTTGAAATAGGGATAACAAATCTTAAACTGACAAATCCCAAATGGTTGTCTGTCAGCCATTTTTTTCTCATTTCAAAAGGGTACAACTAGGGACGAAGAGGAACCGACACAGGAGATTTGAGAAATATCGATCCCGAACTTCTTAAGAAATAGTGATAACAAAATTTCATTGTCAAAATAAAAGATGGCCGCCTGTCAGCCATTTTGTTGTTCTGATCAGTCATAAAGTCAAACTGGCATATGACATATTAGACGGACGACAGATCATGGACATGGGACGATTTGAATATCTGTAATTGTTTGCATCATATATGGAGCTGTGGACGCAATCATTAACAGAATTCAGTTAACAACAGAATGAGGTACAAGCATACAATTTATGCCAGAGAGCTAATTCAACTTAATGCATGAAATCCTCTAACGTTACTTTCCCAAGAAATGGTACTTGCCTTAATTGTTTTACTTAAAACACATCTTCTCTTTCAGAACATCTGGTCTTATTCTCTTTGTGTTTAATCATTCATCATTTATATTTTGGGGAATGTATAAGTCATTTCCTTGTCCGTTAAAAATTTGCCCTTTATATATACTTTTCGAATGTGATATGTAAATTGTAAGTTGACTGTTTTAACAATATCAATGAATTTATAACAGGGTAAGAAGAACAGGTAAACAACTCAAGTCGAGAATAATCTGTACAGAACTAGTTTCGTGAAAAGAGTCGTTATCATAGTCTTTGATTCATATATGTGATTCGATGTGAGAGGTAAATACATGCATTTTTTCGTCTGTATACCAAACAGGGTTTTCAGATAACGAAGTTGTAAACGTGTTAAGATATATCATCGTTCAAAAGTTAGTAATTTGATTGTAAATTAGAAAACCTACATTTTGATATTACAGTTGTTGCCATGTATGTTTGTCTCGCCGTCCGTCCGTCATTTTGTTCCAACAGTTTTCGCAATTTCTTTCCATATGATGAGCAAAAACATGGGCTGGCGACATGTCCAGAAAATTAGTCGATTGAGACAGATTACCAGTCACGTGGTCTTCAGGGCATGGTGAACATGTTATTGAAGCACAATCACCAATAACTGTTTACAACTTGAAAGGTTTGGCATCTGTAATTTTCGTGATGTCATTCAAATTTCTGTTGTTGGTGTCTTCGTCATTGTTGTTTATATCACTATCACTGTTGTTTGTATTACTATCACTGCTGTTTGTATCAGTATCACTGTTGTTTGTGTCAGTATTATTTGTATCACTGTTTGTGTCACTATCACTGTTGTTTGTGTCACTATCACTGTTGTTTGTATCACTATCACCGTTGTTTGTATCACTATCATTGTTGTTTGTGTCACTAGCATTGTTGTCTGAATCACTATCACTCTTTCATGTATCACTCTCACTGTTGTTTGTATCACTATCACTGTTGTTTGTATCACTGTTGCTGGTTTCACTGTTGTTTGTATCACTATCACTGTTGTTTATATCACTATCTCTCTTGTTTGTGTCATTATCACTGTTGTATGTATCGCTATCACTGTTGTTTGTATCATTATCCCTTTTGTTTGTACCACTTTCATTGTTGTTTGTATCAGTATCACTGTTGTTTGTATCTCTATCAATGTGATTTGTAACACTTTCACTGTTGTTTGTATTAATGTTGTTTGTATAATTGTTGTTTATATCACTTTCATTGTTGTTGTATCACTATCACTGTTGTTTGTATCACTATCACTGTTGTTTTTATCACCTTCACTGTTTTATGTGTCATTATCACTGTTGTTTTTATCACTGTTGTTTTTATCACTATCACTGTTGTTTGTATCACTATCACTGTTGTTTGTATCACTATCACTGTGTTTTATCTCTATCACTGTTGTTTGTATCACTGTTGTTTGTATCACTATCACTGTTGTTTGTATCAGTATCACTGTTGTTTGTATCACTCTCACTGTTTGTGTCACTATCACTGTTGTTTGTATCATTATCACTGTTGTTTGTATCAGTATCACTGTTGTTTGTATCAGTATCACTGTTATTTGTATCACTGTTGTTTGTTTCACTATCACTGTTGTTTGTATCATTATCACTGTTGTTTGTGTCACTATCACTGTTGTTTGTATCATTATCACTGTTGTTTGTATCAGTATCACTGTTGTTTGTATCAGTATCACTGTTATTTGTATCACTGTTGTTTGTTTCACTATCACTGTTGTTTTTATCACTGTTGTTTGTATCAGTATCACTATTGTCTGTATCACTATCACTGTTGTCTGTATCACTATCACTGTGTTTTATCTCTATCACTATTTTTTGTATCACTATCACTGTTGTTTGTATCACTATCACTGTTGTTTGTATCACTATCACTGTTTGTGTCACTATCACTGTTGTTTGTATCACTATCACTGTTGTTTGTATCACTATCACTGTTGTTTGTATCAGTATCACTGTTGTTTGTATCACTGTTGTTTGTTTCACTATCACTGTTGTTTTTATCACTGTTGTTTGTATCAGTATCACTATTGTCTGTATCACTATAACTGTTGTCTGTATCACTATTATTGCTGTTTGTGTCACTATCGTTGTTGTCTGAATCACTATCACTGTTGTTTGTATCACTGTTGTTTGTATCAGTATCACTATTGTCTGTATCACTATCACTGTTGTCTGTATCACTATTATTGCTGTTTGTGTCACTATCGTTGTTGTCTGAATCACTATCACTGTTGTTTTTATCACTGTTGTTTGTATCAGTATCACTATTGTCTGTATCACTATCACTGTTGTTTGTATCACTATCATTGCTGTTTGTGTCACTATCATTGTTGTCTGAATCACTATCACTGTTGTTTGTATCACTATCACTGTTGTTTGTATCACTATCAATGCTGTTTGTGTCACTATCATTGTTGTCTGAATTACTATCACTCTTGCATGTATCACTATCACCGTTGTTTGTATCACTGTTGTTTTTAATGCTATCACTTTTGTTAATATCACTATCACTGTTGTTTGTTGTACCATCACTGTTGTTTGTATCACTCTGCTTTTTCCGTCACCGTGTTGCAGACATAACCTGGACTCATTTGAAAACAGAACATTGTTCCATTGTCGTAAGGCCCAACGACGGTGAACACGTGTCCAGTTACGCCTATTATTACGGTGACGTCGCAACAAATTGGGTCCAATGTAGGGACGCCGCGCTTTCAATTGGTAGGCCCTCAACCTGTTGCGGACTGTTTGGGAGACACACGACAATGTCCTTGTAGTCTCTACTGCGGTTACGAATCGATTGCGCAAGTGTATCAATCGTATACGACGGTCATCACTGGCCATAATGCCGTGCAGCTCGACGGCGAGACTCCCCAGCCTGGATCATGCCTACAGCCCTGTCTCTTTGTATTTGTGACAGCCGGAGCATAATGATAAAATTGATAGATAGCAAGATTCGGTGATTTCTAAGTCCTAAGGATCTAAGGAACAGTTGTCAGTCGCAAGAAAACCTCGTGCAGCTCTTTTTTTAATACAGACTTTCACGCTTGAATAATTTTGGTAACCTCCTTGGATTTTTTAATGTAAAACATTACCATTTTTTAATATTGCACAAACTTCATTTTGGTTTCACTCATTTACAGGTATTCGCCAAGGAAACATGTTAACCTTTCTTTTTGTTGAGCATATAACAAATGTCATCAAGGCAACACAATCCTGACATAAATGTTAACCCCTTCATGATCTTATCGATTAGATTAAATGTAGCAGACAAACTAGTAAAAATCTAAAAAGTGTCTTAACATGTATTAAATGCAATATATTTGGTTGACTCTTCATCGATAGTCATTTGAAAGAATCCAAAGTTCACGTCCAGAGATAAAAAATAATTTGGAATACGATTTGCACAAGATTCAGGTAATTTGTTACATTCTGTAAATCATGAAACATATACTTGAAATCAGAAGTCTGTGGATTTAGATTACTGTAATTACAGCAAAATCGAAAAGATAAGTGACTGGCTTGCCCAAAAATTTGGTTTAATTACAAGATAAAAGGACTAGAAATAGGAATGTCCTTAGATTCAGATACTAGTTTGATAAAACCTTGTTTTAACAGTTCCCAAGTTGACGACGCAACACCACCTTTCTGTAAGGAGTCAACCGATAAGGTTTCTGCTGTTTTCACTCAATATAAAGCTTGTTGGCCATACAGTAATATGATCTGCTGAATAGTAACAGTGTTTGCATGAACTAAGTATAGATCATTTGTTGACGTGAATAATGCTGTTCTCCGGGTCCAACAACTGATACACAACTGGTACTTTTATAGTCATAGCATTTTTGTTCAATACAACTGAAAGACCAGAACTGACGCATTGTGTACCGACAGGTGGTTTGCCAGTAATTTATCCCATACAAGACATTTCGAATTGCATTGAACTGCAGAAAAATGGTTAATAATTATAAAGATATGTATATAGATTTTTCTCATTTACTACTCTGTGCCTGAGATCAAAGGATGAGTCATCTCCAAACATACAAACACATAGAAATATTTTATTTTTTCTCGTTGGTGTTTCGATAACTAACGAATAATACTAGCAGGGCTATGTTTTGTGACTGCAGCACAACACCACCTTAGTACCTGTATGTTAAATGCTTGATAAACACTTGGAAAATTTATCAAAACAAGATTTAGAATTGATATTTAACTCATCAATTAGGGCATTGCTGGGTGTAAAAGTTTTACATTTGTAAACTGATTATTGTTTACAAATGATACAATACAATAGCATCATGACAAACACAGATATGGTAGGATATTTAACCGTATACGCCTTTATCACTTTAAAAGAAAATCTCTAAACAATAGATCCGTCCCATCCTCCTAGGCTTGGCTGTGACGAAACAAGGAAGTTAAGTCCCATTTAGCCTTTGTGCGACAAAGTATTTATACTTATATTCTCAGAATTTCAGTCATTTTTCTCGATACGTACCAGAGCCCAAACACGCGATGAAACGACCCAAGTCATGGGCATGGTTGTTGTGCATAATGGCATAGTTTTAGTTTAAAAAGAAACTCTCTTTTGTACATGATCCTGAAAATATATATACATCAAATCTTTAATCAATATGCATTGATGACACATAGTGTATGTGGTTTAAAAATCCTCCTGATAGGTATCCATGTATAGGACAAATGATTTCTGAACCAGACGAAGTCAATTATGATCAAATGTGTACTATCAAACAAGGTAGATGGAAGGAGTCCAGCAACAAAGAAAGAATCTTAACCGAGTATACAGCGTCATAACGTTAAGTAAAAATCTTAACCGAGTGTCTACAGCGTCATAACGTTAAGTAAAAATCTTAACCGAGTGTCTACAGAGTTATAACGTTAAGTAAAAATCTTAACCGAGTTTACAGCGTCATAACGTTAAGTAAAAATCTTAACCGAGTCTACAGCGTCATAACGTTAAGTAAAAATCTTAACCGCGTCTACAGCGTCATAACGTTAAGTAAAAATCTTAACCGAGTCTACAGCGTCATAACGTTCAGTAAAAATCTTAACCGAGTGTCTACAGCGTCATAACGTTAAGTAAAAATCTTAAGCGAGTGTCTACAGCGTCATAACGTCCAGTGAAAATCTGAACCGAGTCTACAGCGTCATAACGTTAATTTTGCACTCGTTATCATATTAAACGTTAAAAAGCTGAATGTTTGCAGGTTAAAACACGCAATTCTACTTCAGATACTACAGGATATAGTTCCCTATTGTCAAAATATTCTTACACTGCATATATACACGGCGTTAACCAACTGCGCAATATCACTTGGCGCAAGTACATTTCGTTGATAGTCAGGTAAGTATCAACATTTAGAACAGCTTTTGCTCAAAATGTTCATCCGTCTTTTAGGTTAAGTTCATTTCAAGCGTAATTGTCTGTATTTGTAATAATTTGATCAAATAAGTGATAACAGACATGTTTAAAACAAAGCTACAGTTCTCGCCGATTAAAAAAAAAGGGAGTCAAAAATGAAAATATTATCTCGATTAGATAGATGTATGCTAAATATGATTTATATCTTTATCCCATTCTCTCGTGATTCCTATGCTTGGCTGCGACGCAACAAGGAAGTTGTCCCATCTAGATACGTACCACAGCCAAGTTACTGCCTTTCAAACACGCCAAAAGACCCAAGTCATGGACATGGTTGTTGTGCATAATGGCATAGTTTTAGTTTAAAAAAAACTTTCTTTTGTACATGATCCTGAAAATATATACATCAATTTTTTAATCAATATGCATTGATGACGCATAGAGTAAGTGTTTTAAAATCCTCCTGATAGGTAACCAAGTAGAGGACAAATGATTTCTGAACCAGACGAAATCAATTATGAACAAATGTGTAGTTGGAAGGAGTCCAACAACAACGAAAAGATTCTTAACCGAGTTCACGGCGTCATAACTTTAAGTGAATGATTATAGAGGGGTACTTTTTTGCTTAGTTCTAATATATAAGACAACAGATCGGACATTAAACTACCGATCTTACCATCTAGCATAACGCCTTGTGAGAAATGAAATTGCAGTGTTTGCCCCAAGCCATGCAGGTGTTATGAATATTTCCTCTTTCATTCTTAAATGTTTTGTTGTTTTTGTTATTTAAAATATACGATTGGATTGAGATACATGTCTAATTCATTCTTCAACTGTGGAATTAAAAAGTTTGATATTGCACTCATTATTATATTAAACGTTAAAAAGCTGAATGTTTGCAGGTTACAACACGTATTTCTACTTTAGATAGTACAAGATATAGTTCCCTATTGTCAAAATATACTTACACTGCAAATATACAAGGCATTAATAAACAGCGCAAAATTTCTTGGCGCAAGCATGTCTGCCGTGTGTACATTTCGTTGATAGTCAGGTAAGTATCAACATTTAGAATAGCTTCTGCTCAAAATGTCCATCCGTCTTTTAGGTTAAGTTCATTTAAAGCGTAATTGTCTGTATTTGTCTGTAATCATTTGATCCAATCCGTGATAGTAGACATGTCTAAAATAAATCTACATATATCGGGGATTCAACAAAGATTTGTCAAAATATGAAAATATATTCAAAATATTAGAACATGAGCTCAGATTCACGTTTGAATCAGTCGGCCTATATTCTCATTAAGATAGATGTATGCTAAATATGATTTTTATTCACCTCGGCAAATTAGGGTTTTCCTCGGTCGCCTCCTAGGTTTCAACACACCAGGTGACTTGTATCGCTAGCATATCATTGTCTGTTATATCTAACTATGAATTTGTAATGAAATGTGATATTCGTTTATATGAAGAAGAGTAAGGGATGTTTTAACAATAACGCATTCAAGTAATTTATCAAAGGAAGGTACAGAGCAAAATCAACCCTTCGTTTAACATATATGATTTTTTTTATGTTTACAAAACTCTTCTGGAACACCTGATCTTGTTCATCGTGTACTTTTCACGTGTCACGTGATTATATTGCCATGTAGGCATTTTCTTGATATTGATTCAGTTGCATTGAGTGTGAGTTATTATATATTATGATTATGTTGACATGTTGGTATTTTCTTGTTGTTGACCCAGTTGTATTGAGTGTGAGTTAGGAATATGATTATGTTGACATGTTGGTATTTTCTTGTTGTTGACCCAGTTGTATTGAATGTGAGTTAGGATTATGATTATGTTGACATGTTGGTATTTTCTTATTATTTACCCAGTTGTATTGAGTGTGACTTAGGATTATAATTATGTTGACATGTTGGTATTTTCTTGTTATTTACCCAGTTGTATTGAGTGTGAGTTAGGATTATGATTATGTTGACATGTTGGCATTTTCTTGTTGTTGACCCAGTTGTATTGAGTGTGAGTTAGGATTATGATTATGTTGACATGTTGGTATTTTCTTGTTGTTGACCCAGTTGTATTGAGTGTGAGTTAGGATTATGATTATGTTGACATGTTGGTATTTTCTTGTTATTTACCCAGTTGTATTGAGTGTGAGTTAGGATTATGATTATGTTGACATGTTGGTATTTTCTTATTATTTACCCAGTTGTATTGAGTGTGAGTTGTATTGAGTGTGACTTAGGATTATAATTATGTTGACATGTTGGTATTTTCTTGTTGTTGACCCAGTTGTATTGAGTGTGAGTTAGGATTATGATTATGTTGACATGTTGGTATTTTCTTGTTATTTACCCAGTTGTATTGAGTGTGAGTTAGGATTATGATTATGTTGACATGTTGGTATTTTCTTGTTATTTACCCAGTTGTATTGAGTGTGAGTTAGGATTATGATTATGTTGACATGTTGGTATTTTCTTGTTATTTACCCAGTTGTATTGAGTGTGAGTTAGGATTATGATTATGTTGACATGTTGGTAT